ATTAATAATAATAATAAAAATAAGTTTAGTGATAATAGCTGTTTAAATAAGAAAAAAGAAGAGAAAGAAATAAATGAAAAAGAGAAAAAAAAAGAAGATAGTAAAATGGAAATGGATATTAATAATTTTGATAAAAAGGAAATAAAACAATTAGAAAAAGAAATAGAATTCGAGATTTTTGATAAATAAAAAGAGTATATCAATAATAATATTTGAGGGAGATTAAATAAAATAGATTATTTTTCTATAGAATTTTAAGCTTTAATAATTTAAACTAATAATAAAATAGATTATAATATAAATTTATAATCTTTTATATTAAAAGGATTATTGAAGTAAAATATATTATAGATTAAAAGCTATTTTACAGACTTTGATTTTCGATATATTATTATTAGATTATAATTAAATAATTTATTAAGGGATAAGATTAATTATTAATTATAATTTTTGCTTTTAGATTTAATAATCTTTTTTTTTAAAAAAAAATAAAATAAAAAAAAGACTTTATATTTTTTATTTATATTTTTTATTTATATTTTTTATTTATATTTTTTATTTATATTTTTTATTTATATTTTTTATTTATATTTTTTATTTATATTTTTTATTTATATTTTTTATTTATATTTTTTATTTATATTTTTTATTTATATTTTTTATTTATATTTTTTATTTATATTTTTTATTTATATTTTTTATTTATATTTTTTATTTATATTTTTTATTTATATTTTTTACTTATGTTTTTTATTTATATTTTTTATTTGTATTTTTTATTTGCATTTTTTATTTATATTTTTTACTTATGTTTTTTATTTATATTTTTTATTTGTATTTTTTATTTGCATTTTTTATTTATATTTTTTATTTGTATTTTTTATTTATTAAGCAAATATTTTGAAATTTATTAATATATTTAGGTATTTTAAGAAATTATTATATTAATTATTTGATTACTTATAAAGAACTATTTAATGAAATCTTTTTATATAAACTCCAGAAAAATTAAATCGATTAATAAATTAATTAAATTTTGATTATTTTTTCTTTTCTAATCTATATAAATAATAAATCTATTTATAAAAAAAGTATAAATATAATATAAAACAATATAGATTTTAGTAATCAAAGTAAACTATAATCCAGAAAAATAAGGATATATAGAATTTACTTTTTTTTCTAAAAGAAAATAAAAATTCTGAAGAGTATATTGAGTTTCTATATATTTTTTTAAAGTATAATATAAAAAAATTAAAAAATTATTTTTATTTATAATTTTCAAAATAAGAGGGATATATAGTAATAACAATAATAATAGTAATAATAGTAATAATAGTAATAATAGTAATAATAGTAATAATAGTAATAATAGTAATAATAGTAATAATAGTAATAATAGTAATAATAATAATAATAGTAATAGTAATAATAATAATAATAATAATAATAATATTACTAATTCTAATATAAATTCGAAAATTGTTTATATAGATATTATTATAATAAAATATAATCTTTGAGAATTATTAAAAAGTATATTAATAAAAAATATTGTATTAATATATAAATAAACAAAAATAATCAAAATATTTATTTCTCTAAATTGAAGAAAGTATATAATTATTGAAGATATTTAATTAGTAAATTAATTAATTAAATTACTTTTTATAAATATAATCAAAAGAAATAATCTTTTAATATTTATATTATTAATAGTAATAATTGATGTTTAAAAAAGATATCTAATTTTAATATAAATAATAAAAAAGATAATAATATTATTTGGGGATATATAGAGAACAAAGTTAGGAGAATATTAAATAAAATTTAAATAATAAAGAACTTTTTAAATATAAGGAAGAGGGGAGATATAAGAAGGTAATAGTTTAAATTGAATATAGATTTAGAGTTTATAATTCGAGAACTAAATTATATATAATATAATTCAAATAAGGATCTGGATAATAATAATATGAATAATAATAATAAATCTAATAGCAATAATAAATTAAATTAAATAGATTGGAATAATCTAAATATTTTTTATTTTATTTGATAATAAATTAATTTTTAATAAATATTAAAATACTAATTAATTAGATTATATTTGAAATATAAATTATATATATTAAATAATAAAAGATAATTGAATTTATTATAAAATATAGGAATTATATTATTAATATTTTTAATTCCTTTTCAAATATTTGAAGAAAGAATATATAGTTTTGAAATAAAATAGGTTTATAATCTGAATAGATTGATTATTATATTAAAAATTATATGATTTATATTGGGAATAAAAATATAAACAATTCTTATAATTATAAATTATATAGGGAATCTAGATGGTATAAAAAAATAAATAAAAAAGGAGAAAAATATTCAAAAAAATAATATATCTTTTTTTCTTTAAAAAGGAAATTAAGTGTATAATTCAGATTTTCTAAAACTAAATATTTAATAACTTATAAAATTAGTTTTAATAGAATCAAAAATCAAAATAGAAATAAAGAATAAAAGAATATCTTTAATAACAATTTATATTAAAATTATTATAAAAAAAAGCTTAATTTATTTTAGAAATAAGATATTTCTATATTCTGTTTTTATAAATTAATATTAATTAAAAGTATAATAGAAGATATAGTTTTAATATTATTATAAGATGGTGTTTAAATAATTAGAATTAATAATTATTATATATACCCTATTATTCTATTTAATCTCAATCTTTTTCCAAATAAATAAATAAAAAAGAAAAACTTTTTATTATCTTATTTGATATTAGAATTAAGAAAAATTAATAATTTAAATTCTTTTTTGTAATTTATAATAAATAAAATACTAGTTTTAGATAAGGATATTTATAATCTAGATAAATATAATGGTTTTAAGTATTAATTATATAATTTTTTTATGAATAAATTATTTGTATTATATATATAGATTATTATTATATCTAGGGATGGTTCTGGGAGAATTGAGGTTATAGAATTAAAGATATTTAGTAATATATATTGCTTATATTATTATTATATAATATATAGTATTTACAAATCTAATAATGATTTTTATTATATCCTATATATTATAGCTCAATTATAAAATAAAGATTTAGAATTAAGAAATAATATTTGATTTCAATTGAGAGAATAGAAAGGAATACAAATAAATAAAATAGCAAAAGATAAATATTAGGGATTTGTATATAGTTTTATATTATTCAAATTCAAATTAATTTATTTTATAAAGAATATTAGGATTAATATAATATATTATATTTTATAAAATATAATATAAAATCTTCATTTTTTATAGGAAAATAAATAGTTTAATTTGAATAATAAGAAATTCTATAAGAAAAAATTAAAAAATTAAAAAAAAAACAAAAACAATAAAAAGACAAGGTATTATTATTAATATTAAGGGAAGGAAATCCTTTACTATATAAAGTAAGGAATACGATTATATTATAGATATTAGATTTAAAAGATATTAAATATGATTTAAAGAATCAAAGAGAAAATAAATTAAATAAGAAAATATTTTTAGTATTATATATTGTATTAGAAAAAGAATAATATTAATTAAATATTATTTAAGAAGAGATAAGATATATAATTTCTTTATAATTTGGATAAAATATTAGATATATAAATAAATATTGAAAGGAATATAAAGCTATAAAATAAAAGAAGTTTCTAATATAAAATGGAATTATTCTTTTAATAAATTTATTAGAATTTGAATTTTATTTAGAGAATTTTATTCTATTAAAAGATATATATATTTTATATTGTAAAAGATTGATATTAAAGGAAGATATAGATAATCTTGAATAGAAATCAAGGGAATTTATATAAATGTTTTAAAAATTATATTATTAGAGCAAAGAAGATTATATAAAAATATATAAGATTAATTAGTATTTTTTACTTTATTTGGGTATAAAAATCCAATCTCTCAAATTTTTATTTATATATAAATAGAAAAATTCTAATATGAAATAGTAATACAAATTAGAAATTTAGATTTAGAATAGGTGTTTTGGGTATAATTAATAGAAAGATATATTAATATTTATAAGAATATAATAATTAATATGGTTAATATAAATAAAATTCTATTATATCAATTAATATAAATAGAATATATAAATTATTTATTAGAATTCAAAAGTTATTATAAATAGAAGAAGAGTTATCTGGAGTAAGGCTTAAAGTTTCTAATAATATTTAGGGTATTTCTTGATATGAATCTAAATTGTATGCAATTTAGTTTAATTAAATAGTATTTTAGAAAAAAAGATTTAAAATAATGATTAATTAATAAGAATTTTATAAAGTTTTTTAAAAAAGTAAGAATTAATATTGATATAATAATAGAAACGAAAATTGGGTAAAGTATTTTAATAAAGAATTGTAATGATTTGTATGTATAGTGGTATTTAAAAAAAGAAATTAGGGAGTGATATGGAAGGGTATAAATTATTATATAAAATTATAATTAGAAAAAAATTATAATAATATAAAAGTTTTGTTTTATATGAAAATATAGAAAATGGGATTTTTTAATAATTAATGGATTTGTTAATAAGAGATTTGGTAGATTGAAGATTATAAAATTAAAAGAAATAAGGGATATTATTGGGAGAATAAAAATGATGAGAGATTATAAAAATTATTGGGATGGGTTTATAGTATTGATTTTATAAAATAAGCTTTATTTTGATTAAAAAATTGAAAATATCTTATATTATAATAATATTATTTTTATATTTGTTTATAATTAAATTCGAAAATAATCAATTTTATAATTATATTTTTATTTTTTTTATCAAAATTTAATAATAAATGAATCGCAAAAAGAACCGATTTGATTTGTTAGTAATAAAAAGCTTTATTTATTATTAACAAATATATATATCAATATTGTAATGTATAAAATAGAAATTTATATAGGGATTTATATTGAATTTATCTTCGTCCGGAATATTAACTTTGCCACCACAGGGCCTGCTTCTGTCCCCCACAACAAACATATGGACCATTTAGCGGGGCATTTTGGGGCCATCCTCGCGAAGTCGCAATTTCCCGTTGGAGTTTCTAGCAAAGTGTTAATAATTTCTGTGGGATTCTAATACCATCTGGCCTTTCCGTTACAACGAACTCTTATGTGACCCAGCTTCATTCCGAGTATTTGCCTATCATTGTTAGTAGTTTCCTTTACCCCAACTTCTACTCTCAGTCTACTCACATATCCTTCTCGGTGATATCCTTCACCACCTTCCAATTATCAAATCCTGCATCCATCAAGCGATTCAGATAGTATAGCATCTGAAGTCTGTTAAATATCATCTGAAGTTCTCTGTCCGGAGGATTCATGTCTGGCAGATCCATGTTTGGTAGACCAAAGTTCGAGAGATCCATATCAGGAAAATCCATCTTTGGGAGTCATTTATTGCGAAGTTCCTCAAGAAGATATTGAAGAACAAAAGTCTAGATTGCGAGAAAACTGGGGAATGGAGCTCCTTGCGCCTTGCTTCAAATGCAGTGAACAGGATAATGCCAACTTTACCTGCGCGCTGAGATTCAAGCAGCGAATCATCAATTCCATGTCGGGCTTGCATACCGGATTTGATACCGCATTCGGCTTCTCTTCCTATTTGACCTGCGCACCTCGAGTGCAATGCTTGACCATAATATAAAAGCCTTGTATTAAGCACACAGATGCGCTAAATCTTTGATACACTTTAAAGCCATGGTATGGTGCTATGTCATCCAAATGAACGACAAAGACTACCAGTAAACGGAAGCCTCTCTAGAGAAAACCCGCCAAATATTCACATAGAACAGCGCATCCAAAAACATCCCCTCAATCAACCATGTGCAACTATTACCCTCGCCACCTGTTCAGAACCCCTTTCAATCGCTTTCGAAGCAATCAGGATCCCCATAGAAAGTGTAATTTCGAACCGAACCATCATATTCTTCGGAGATACGTCCGGTATTCGCTTCGTCTAGGCACGAGCCACATGAGAGAAATGTGACATGTCCATGCTGATGCTGGCACGGGAGTTCTCCGTGCATCTTTCCACGAGACATCACTGGATTGCCACTCTGAAAGCCATGTCGCGATTGGAACGTCTTATTATCGGGCATTCGGAATCGCACCTCTCGACGGGTTGGGAAAAAGCCACATCAAAGACCGGTTATGTAACTCGGGTAACACAAAAGGGGGAAAATGTTTGAGGGTCGGTAGATTGCACGGACAATCTTCTCCATAGTATACATTCATTGTCCGATTACGAGAAATTCCTCTGGATGAATAATCTCCCTTGAGCATCATTTATTTTTCGATATGTTGTTTAAAATCTCTGGCACAGAGCTTCTTGTTTGAAGAACCTGTGAGGTCTTTGAATGTTTCAAATGGCGCGAATAACTTGAAACTCCCAGAAGCACTGCATCTCTGAGCTGCATCGAGTCTCACCACGATACAGTCGTTGCCACGTAAACATGGCAAAAAAAGGAAATATCAGCCATTTTTACTTTTTGTCATATCAAACAATAGCCCTATCTTTGTGGAATTGATTGGTGTGATAAGAAACTAAGATTGTGTTGAAAGTTGATTTACAAGTATATCAAGATAAGAAAATAATGTGAATTCTTTCGATGAGGGCAAATTTCCCCCCAAAATTTGATATTGGCTGAGATGTATTCCTAGGTCATCGCCCAAAGAATGGATACGGAACTGCGAAGAAGGTTTTCACTTGAGTGAGAGAGTGAGCGCTCGAATATACGGTTTTACTGATTCTCAGCTCAAGAACCCCAAAACCCACGTTTCGACAAGGCGAGGAAAAAAGACAAAATTCAAAATTCAAAGATGCAATACACGCCTCAAACATATCACCCAAAGCACCACGCGCACGAAGACCGCGTATAGGGTAAGTCATCATTCTATTTGTTCTTGATGTGCGCACTATCATCATATTTCGTACTCCAGATATCGTCCTCATCTCCTCTCTAGTGTTGCCTAATCAACCGGATTTCCCTTCTTCCTCCTTTTCTTTCTGCTATGATGTTTCATGCTACCTCAAATCCAGCAAGGTAGTCGCTCTTGTGCATAAAAATCCGATTGAAATGTTGATCTCATTTTTGTCATTATTCTCCACTATCACCAGGAACTTTTCGTCTACCCGTTTTCCTCCTCAACTCCTTCATCTTCCACCACCGGTATGTATCTTCGCCAACCAGAAAACCCATTATGCAAGCACCATCCGCCACCCAACAAAGTTCCCCTCAAGCTATCTTTCCCTCCCCACCATATCACATCAAGAATCAAAACTAAAAATCTCTATCTGAGCATAATAAAAATGTGTTTCCTCCCAAACAGTAGAAAGAAGAATCAAAAAGCAAAATTGCAAAGTTCATTCGCTAGTCTAAACAAGCAAACAAGCAAATTAGAGAAGTGTAAACATCAATGCCGTTCATTGCCGTTTTCGTTTCGCTCCATAAAACACCTTCGCCAATTCAAAATATCAAAAAAGCAAAAAAGGTCTTCTGCGGTGCAAAATAAAATAAAAGAAACAAGTTGGAAAATTTTGTGGTATCTCGTAAAATCGCGGGACGTTAAAGTACAAATAAATAAATTGGTGAGTATGGTGAAGCAAAAACTCGATTCTAGACCACCACTTTCATGCCGCAGTCGCGATGTTTGAATATTGCTTGTAAGGAGTGCTCCCAATTTTCGCAGGTTTGCGGTGAAATGTTGTGGCAAGTGAGTTCGTTGTGACAAATTACAGTGGCGTGAATTAGATGTAGATGTAGGTAAGACAGACGGGAATAAATCGTAAAGCGAAAGCTGGAAGTGTCGCAAGAAAACGCAATTTGAAAATGTTGATACAGGACTTCGGATTATTCTTTTAGAAACAATTCAAACTGCCCTTCTTCTTTTTCTTGCTGCTAAGAGCGTTCATACGTTCTTCAAGGTGAGCTCTCGCGAGCTCGGCTTCTTTTCTCTTGCGCTTCTCTTCTTCGACTTGCATTAAGCTCCAACGATTTTCCTTCTCGGCATTGCCATTCTTGGCCTTCTCCTCGGCAGCTTTCAGTTCAACTTCCAGTTCATTGGCACGTCTTCTCCATGCATCACAATCGGCTTTGACCTTGTTGCTTTGTTTCTCGAGATCTGTGAGAGCCTCTTCGAGGGTGGATGTGAGCTGCTTTTCAGCGAACAGGTGCTTCTCGATAGTGCGGATACGAGCTTCTTGGTCCTCTTGAATTTGAGTTGCAGCTATGTCTTTACTATTGCGAGTATTGAAGCTACTTTGTGTAGGTGTTGGTGGAACTGGCGATGTTGAAGGAGCGGGTCCTGTCTGTGCAGTTCCCGAATTTCCAGGTAGTGGCGGTAGAGGAATTGCCGGGGGTGGTGATGGAAGTGAAGTCACGGATGCCGATTTGTGGAGTCTCGAAGTCATCGAGTTGGAACGCTTGTTGCTGGCTTCGGATTGCAAAACTTCGTATTTGGCCTATTGAATGAGTCAGACATACTTGATACACAAAATGAAGTCGAGCTTCGCAACTTACCTGAAGAGTGGCTAATTCCTCTTTGATCGCATCCAGCTCAGTCTGAGCACGAAGGGCATTTGCATTGGCTTCGTCTAGTTGAGCATTACGCTCTGTTTGGAGTGTAGACAAACGATTGTTAGCAGCTTGATGCTCATCGAAATTTGAGGCAAGTTGGTCCTCAAGCTCTTCTACTAATCTTGAATTTTTCTTGTTCTTAGTTTCAAGATCGTGCAGCTCCTTCCTCAAAGCTGCTAGTTGATCTGCGACTGTAGCATTTTCGTCTCTCAATCTTGAGCCATCGGTGGTCTTGGCCAAAAGATTAGCCAGTTCCGCCTTGGTATCCTCAAGCTCCTTCATGACAGACTGGTTTATGGTTGACAACTCTTTAGTGAACTTCTCGAGCTCGCCGACTTTAGCTTCTTGATGCGAAAGCGCTTTCTGGCTTGCAATGAGATCTGCGATCCTATCTTGTAGTTTCTCTGTGCTGACGTCGACTCCAAGTGCAAGCGCGACCTGGGTAGCGATCTTTGTCAGATCATCTCGCGCGTCAGAGAGCTCTCTTGTCAGTGCATCGGTGCTTTCTTGATGTTTAGCCATTAACTCGTTTACCTGAGCCTCGTGGTCAGCCTGGCTATTTGAGCGAATTTCCTCAATTTCCTTTGCATGATTTGCGTTCAAGAGGGATATTCCTTCGTGGTGGGCCTTGAAAATGCTCTCATGCTCGGCGATCTGTTCTTCCAATCGATTCACAAGAATTTTGTGCCCTTCCATCTCAGCGGAGACAATATTTTTTGACTGGATGGCTGCCTCGAGCTGTTCACGAGTTGTTGCATGGGCTTGCTCGAGCTCAGCAAATCGCGAGACGTTTGCAACAACAGAAGCCTTGTGTTCCTCAACTTCTCTTTGCAAGTTTGAAACATGCGTGTTATGATCTCCAACTTCGCGGATCCTATGCTCCCCACTCCTTACCAGGCTTGTTAATTGTTGTTCCAATTCAGAGATAGTAGCTTCGAGCGTATTTTGAGAACTTTGCATAGAAGACAACACAGCCTGATGCTTTCCTTCCCAATTGATAACTTCTGCTTTCAGCTCTGCTATTTTTCTTTCATGATCATAATCGGCTCCGTTACCCTCAGAAGTATCTTGGTCAGCAGAGTTGCCATTAACCATATGATTGAGATTGAGAGAAGTCCGAAGAGATTCGATTTGCTGAAGCAGCTCCTTTTCACGAGCATTGTGAGTCTCCTGGAGCATTCTGACTTGGTTCTCTGAGTTGATAATCTGGTCCTGCATAGCTGAAACCAGCGACATATCCATGGGTGACGCCTTCATGCTCGATCTCTCTCTTGCAAGCCCACTAATAATAGTTGTCTTGGTTTCCAACTCCTTCTTGACTGTACTGACATCGGCCTCGAGCTCCTGAATGCGCTCTGAGCGGGTATGTAATTCGTGCATGGCGGTGTTCAAGTTTAACTCAAAGTTCGCCATAACATCAGGATCATGCTCAAAATTTTCCGCTGCAATATTCCTCAAAGAGGCGAATGATCTATGAGCCCGATCGATAATCATAACGTTTTGGCTGGATTTGCGGCGTATAACTGGCGTGCCCGAACGTGGTGATGTAGCTTCGGCATTCATTCTCGCCTTTGAAACCTCGGCCTTGAGCTCCTCCATGCGATCAAGAGCCGCTATGTGTTCTTCTTCTAATTGGGCATATTTCTCAGCAAGCATCACTTGTGCCTCTTCGTGCTCCGCGCCTAACTTTCTCAAATTGTCAACTTCCGCCGCACTCGTCGTATCACTGGCCTCGTCTGAGGTAGCTACCGAGTCCGAATTTTTGATCACGGCTTCAGCATCAGATTGTTCTACGGTAGTGGGTAGTTCCCCAGCTGAGGACAATTCCGATGAAAGTGATCGCGAGGATGAGTATTGTCCTCCACCCTTTAGCTCGTTCACCCTCGCGTCTGCTAAAAAAGAAGCTGTTCTTGCCGTAGTAGTCGACAAAATAGAATCACGTGCACCGGTACTACGGGCTTCGTCAACAGCGTCTTGAAGTTCGGCCAGTGTACGAAGAGCTTCTTCATATCTGTTTGAGAGAAGATCATATTCGCCAACAGTAGCTTCATGCTCAACTCTTA